AGCGTGCCAAGTCCCCCGATCCCCAATGGTGGATTTAACGAGAGTTTACGGTACCCGAGTCTCAAGTATTTATATCAGACCCGTCTTGTCAAGTCCCGCTTACCCTGCCCGCCCCAAGCTTGGCCAAACATCACGCAGCCATCCACCTAACAGTGCCAAGGTTCCCACCACTTTGAATGACGCTAAGCGACCTCTAAAGCAGGTGGCACTCCGAGGGAGTGCTTAACAGTTCAACGATAGTAACAGTTCAACGATAGAATTTTTACATAGAATGAAAAAAGTGTATTACAGAACGCCCAATTTCACAACTCAACAGCTTTTGCAACTTTTGCCTTTTATTTTTCTCCTTTACCTCCTTTCTCATTTGCTTTGAAATCTCCTTCCACTTCCGCTTAACCTTGTTATCCGCTGCTCTCTGAACATTGTTGAGCATACGCTGGGCTTTCTCAAGCTCCTTCTCGACACTTTCCTGTTCTTTTCAAAGAACCATCCCCCATGCCTCATGAGCGTAGAGGGCCCCACCCTTCTGAAGTGTCCGGCGACTTCGTTTTTGGCGCACAGTTCGCATAAGTTCCGCTGCTTTCGTATTCTGTAGGTCCTCAAGTGCAAGGCCCCCACTATGTAATTGCACTCAGCTTCCCTTCAGATATTTCTGAAGGCTTACTCGTGATGTTGGAGAGAGGTGTTGAAGGTCAGTCTGTAGTATATCGGCATGGCGCTTTAGAGAGCGTAAGGTTTTTGGTGTTAACTGTATATCCTCAGGTCTCGGGGATGGAGTTCGTGGCAGTTGAATATCTATTTCTTCAATCTCTGGTAGCTTTGCTAAAACAACATCAGGATTGAATAGGACAAGGCCTGTTTTTTTGAAAGCAGAAAGGATTGTCGTAAACTTAAAAGTTTGGGTACGAATGGATTTGATGGCGGAAAAAAATTCAACTTTATTGAACTCTAAACACCCAGTTCGTGTAGCTGCATCAAGTACTTCGGCATGGTAATGTTTATAGGGTTGGAAGACGACAACGTCCAATGGTTGTAGGAGATGCGTGCAATAAGATGGTAGACAAATGAGGATAATCTTATTCTCATCACAAAACGTAATGAACTGCCAAGTGCAGTGTGAATCATGACCATCTAACAGAAGCATTCTCCATGCTCTGACCTGCCGGTGAGCGGAAAACCTCTCAAAATGGTGAATCCAATCAAATGCTAATCGGTCATTTGTATAGCCAGTCTCTGACACGCCAACGAAAAAGTCGTCTGGAATTTCGGTCTTTGTATACCAATCCTCCATATGCATTGCACCAGGAACAATAAGCATAGGAGGAAGTACTGCACCATCACCACTCACACACTCAACAACAGTTACTAATTCTCTATTACTAGAGCTCGCCAAAAACAGAGGCCGTTGTGACTCGCGAGTCACAACCCACTGGTCTCTACCAATACCGATCCGGAATCTGGTCTCGTCGAAATTGTAGGTATCAGCATCCTGGATTCCCTTCTCTTCTTTTATTTTCTGAAACTGCTGAAACCAGTTGCTTATGGTATCACGGTTATGAGACCGTTTCCGATCAATATCTAGGGTTTTTTGCCTCCATATGCTGTATTCGGGATGACGTGTGAGGAAGCGACGAGTCCACATACTGCTCACAACTGGGGGCGGTATGGAATCACAATGAGTTGATGCAAGTACAGAGTTTGCATAGGAAGCGATATGACAAGACCGGGCAGGAATTCCAATCTTGTCTAGCCGATTCAAGTATTGACATAGACCAAGCTCCTGGTCTGATGTAATCTTCCGGTTTGGTAACTCTCTTTGCTAGCGTGACTGACGACCTTTCCAGCGTTCACACAATCACTGCTCAGGAACATCATACTCGCGTGCTAATTTAGCGATATTAGGATCTTCGTTATCAAAAACTTGGTCGATTGCATGCTGGATTCTGGCTTCCTTGGTGGCATATTTTTCGTTGGACATGTTGCTGCTGGGTTTTGAGAAAAATTGAAGGATTCACGATAGGAGGTGATGTGATAGTTATTCTATCGTTGAACTGTTACTATGTTGAACTGTTAGGCACTCCCTCGGAGTGCCACCTGCTTTGGAGGTCGCTTAGCGTCATTCACAGTGGTGGGAACCTTGGCACGGTTATGGATGATCTACCGTGTCCCACTTTCACAAACAAGTCAAGACAGAAAACCGTTCCACCCTGCGCCCTTTTTAGGCCTACCATATCGTGCCAGAAGAGAATATCTGATTTAGCCTGCCCCCACTCTCTTCCTTCCGGCCGGGTCAAACCGAACCTCTCTTTTCCGACTGGACCGGAGTGTAGACTATGGTACCGGTACTTGTACTTGTGCACTTTCCTGGCCAATAGGATCTGGCGATGAGGAAGGGATTTTGTTTAATTTGTGATCGGGATCGGAGTTTTCGGGGTGGGGTGGGGTGAGCTGCTTTAACGTGCTCGAGTACCGTACTCTACCGTACACCATCACATAGCCGGTTTTTTTTTCTTCCGTTTCCTGGGTTGGACGGATGATGTTTGTGGCATCTCCGAGAAGGTTCTTTCTTTTCTTGCAGTGTGGGATGTGAAAGCTCATTGTTTTGGGGAGTGCTTGGTGTACCTGTACTGCACTCGAGTACCGTACCAGAGTACCGTACCAGTACTGTGATGTACGAGGGTGCACCGTACCCGGACAGCAATGTTGTTTCGCTTGGGGGTTACTGTACTCGAGTACTCGAGTACAGGTGTGACGGGTATTATGGTACTTGGTGGGGATGGATTCTCGACATGGATTGCGATATGATAGGTACTCGAGTAGACTAACCCCACGATAGTCTACTGTAGGGGGCGCGCGAGTCAAGATCTTGGCTCTCTAGCCTCGTATTTGAGTGCGGGTATGTTACATTGCGATATGATACTCGTACTTGTGCCCAGTCTTGTGCCCGTACAGCAGTCTGCTGTGTTCGTGGCGTACTCGTACAGTAGGTAATTTACTTGTACTTAGTACGAGTACAATACTCGAGTAGATTCTCGGTATTGCACTTTCCGGGGGGCCTTGACAATTTTCTCCAAGTTAGGGAATAAGACTCCTCCTGTCTTGGACGAATACAAGTGCCAGGTCATGTCTTAACCCGTTGGTTTGGGAGGCCTCGAGGTGTTGTTTATGGGCAAAGCTTTACTAAAGTGTGGTATCCTTTCTTTTCATAGTACCGGTACGAGTACGGTATGATGTCAATAAATGACTGCCTTTTCTAAGACACGATGGAATCCTTTTTTTTTTTCCCCAACACCGCTCACATTGTCAGGACTTTCAGAAGTCACTATATGCACTAAAGGGTGAGGGGGGTTTTTCCTTTTTCCTTTTTTTTTTTTTTTTTTGCGATAACTTACCAAGTGGCGTACCTGTATCAAACTCAGTACGAGTAAAGTACTACGGCTCTGGCACCACTCGATGTAGAAACGGAAAACTTGTTGTTTTCGTCTCTGTCAGGGCAATTAGGGCAAAGTTTATGTTTTTTTTTTTTGGGGGGGGCGGGGGCAGCGGTTTTGTGTGTGCGCTGGATGTGCGAGTTGGACGGTCAAGGACGGAGTAGACTACTCGAGTACTCGAGTATATGGTTGGTTTGCGGCGGTTCACTTCGGCGTGTGTAAGAATTAAGTGGGGCTCATTCTAGACTAATTATTGCTATTGTTGACGTACCGGTATGGCATTGGAGGGGGTGGAGGCTCACGTCGAGTGCTGCACAGTGTGTATGAGTACCAATAATACCGATACCGTTATGTCCATTTGCCCTTTTGTTCAGTGCTCCTTGCCCTCGTGACTCAAGATAACGGCCAACGAAAGCCTTGGCTTATACACTTTGGGCAACTAAATCACCTTTTTATTTCAGCTTGATGTCTTAACTTAAGCTCTCTTGAAGGGGCACTTCTGCAAGTTGTGATGTTGCGGTGTAACTTATCGTATCCTGCTAATATCGTACAACTAGATACGGAAGTGTCGGGTGGTCAGCCAGCAGTCGCCACAGCAACACCCATACCGGTACAATTACTACTTGTCGACGACACTTGTCAACCATCAACTCTGGCATATGGCACCAATATTTGTACTAGTATCATACTTGGGGGCCGATAATATTATGATACAGTACCCTACTATGATATGCAACGGGGTGAACTCGATGGCTCTCGGGGGGGATTTGGTGACCCGATCCGACATGTCACCCTAGGTATTTGGCTTTCTTCTTCATCTTCCTCCTCTCTTTCTTTCAAAGTAGATCTACCGTCCTGGCTAATACTTGTACAGTAAGGTAGACTATGAGGATTTCTGGGGAAGATTGCCTGGGCGGTTGGCAGTTCACCACGCTGCCATGACGGCGAGACACAGAGAGCAAGTAAGCTTAGGTTAGGGGAGCGAGGATTTGGGATGATGCTTGCAAATGTCCGTTTGTATATTGAATTGTACAGCACAGCGCAGCCAGCCCCCGAGTTCCATGAGAATACCGGTATTAGTGAACATTTTATTCGTTACCCTTTCCTGAAAACTTTTTGAGTTCGGCAGAAGATTGGTGGTAATGTGGATTGTCGACGGGAATGAGTGCTCAAGATTGGTGAATTTTGAGGAATCGCTCAATAGAACTTAACTTATGCAATGAATGATATTGATGTGATGATATTATCATGGGATATTTATCTTAACGTGATGCCTCGTTAGTCTACCTCTTCAGAGCTTCCTTTGCGACGCAGTGGAGTACTGTACTCGTACTGGTACAATACAAGTAGAGTGCCGGTTCGAAGATTGAAGCAAGCTCATCCACCCACATAGAATTTCTTTTTTCTTTTCTTTTTCTTTTTCCTTTTTTTTCTTTTCCCTTTTTTGGGGAGCTGGGCTGGTTGCTTTTTGCCTCGTCTCGCCTCACGCTCTTATTATTCTTTTTTTCCCTTTCCCTTTTCTTCTTTTCTCCCTCTTCCTCCTTTCCCTCCATCCATCTCCGCTCCATCAACCCACAAGCTTCCCTCACAGCGGACCCTCAGGTTTTCAAGAGGGTGATCGCGGTTCTAAAGAGTGTCTGCATAGAATTTGCGCGACTTCAAACAACACAGACGATAAGTTTCGTTACCTTCTCCCCCCCCGTTGCCAGCTTGCCTGGCTGTCCTGGCAACAGCAGTCTTTATTGCCACATCGTGACTTGTGGAAATTTCTCCGAGCACAAAAAAGAAAACATCCCCCCTCTAGTTCTCGCTCATCCCGCACATACAAACCACTCATCCTCTGGGTCATATACAGACGGAATCAGATAATTCATCAGGTAAATAAATATATTCTACTGCTTCGGTCGCTTGAGAATTTTAGCTTTTCAAACAACCCCCCCCCCCTCTCCTCTTCTTGCCCCGCTTGTTAGTGTGCTTTTCCCCCTGCCTCTTTAATCGGCCCCTCTATCAGCCTGCTTTCGCTGGAAGTCAAAATGAAGATAAAAAAAAACTAATTTCATGGTATCGTGGTATCAAAAAAAGTGACCATAGGTTTCAGGTCTTCGTCTTTTGCACGCTCCCTCCTACACAGCCTCTCTCCGGCATAGAAAGCTACCCTATCGTTCTTTGAATTTTTTCCCTCCCGCCTGACCAGCGGTCGCTTCTACCCCTACCTCCACCCCCGCTACCAACAAACTCACTCAATTCGTCATCACCTGCACCGCTACAACCCTCTCTCTCTCTCTTACCAAAACACTTTTTTCTTTGCTCAATCCCGCTCAGATCCTTTCTCAGCCAACCTATCCACTCACATATCAAATCAAAATTCACAAAGTTTCTCGAATGACCAGCAACACTTCGAACAATACCTCCATCCCTCAAGCTCCCACGATCAATTCAACCGTTTCAAACCAATCGGCTCATCAACGGACGTCTTCCCTCAGCAGCGGTCAGAACTCGTCCTCTGCCGCTGTGACGGCCAGCGCCCCCACCCCGCGTTCTGTGTCGTACGCCGCCCGTGCCGCTCAACCAGCCAATACATCTAGCAAGTTTGTATCGTCGCCCGTAATCGCAGCCACGCCTTCCTCGTCTTCCACCGGTGGAGCACCAGTACAGAATGTACCGCCCAGCTCAACAGCATCTACGCCGGTGAACGGCAAGATATCCCCTGCTGTTGGAAATGCTGGAGCTGGCATTGCGAATGGTGCCCCTGCTCCTTATACTGCGGGTCCGCATAGCCGAAAATCGTCCGTTGCGTCTGGAGCCAGGGGACCAGCAATACCTAACGGAGCACAGAGGATTAATATATCATTCGGCACTCTGAACGACACTGGAACTGCTCCCTCATCGGGTCCCGCCAATGCAGCTACTAATCCTTCTTTGACTGCACCAATGGCACCCAACCCGAGAACAAGTTCACCTCAGCCTCCCCCATCAGCCGCCTCGCAACCGGCCGCAAGTGGTGGGGCTCCGCCGGTCGCGCCCGCAACTGTTGGCAGGGGTAATATCCAGTTTGGCGATGCAACGCAAGTATGTATAAGTTTTCCTCTTTTTTACGCTTTCTATGCATCTAACTGTCCTCATAGGGCCAGAGTCAGAGGCCCACTTCAATGCCTCCCCAAGCTCCGGGATCGATGCTTGGCCATCACAGACGCGATTCCGCCCAATCCGCACACACTGAAACTGGCTCCCCACAAATTAGCCACGGCCGAGGAGTCCCTGGTGGTCGGGGCCGGAATCAGGGATATGGCGCGGGCCAGTACCCACAACAGCAACATTATGGTGGCAACAGTGGTTATGGGAGAGGTGGTGGCTATCCTGGCCCAAATCAGCCCCGTGGCGGGCTGGCAAATATGGGGCCACAATATCAAGGGCCCGGACCGGCAAATAACTATCAAAACCGGGCCCACCGTGCCGGCGGAAGTCCTGCCATTCCGCATGCTTCCCCTAGTCTCGCTAGCGTCCAGCCCATTCCTACGAACCAGCTCTATCCGGGGTTTATGCCTCCTGCAGGACAACCCGTAAGTACATCCCTTTCGCGATGCAATTGGTGATGGATTACAGCGGGCAAAGAATTTAAAATAACCTTTGCGTAGTACGGAATGCCTGGACAGATGCCAGGTCACATGGCTTATCCAATGGATCCAAATTACTATTCGGGCGGCTATATGTATCATCACCCAGCCACCCCAGGCTACGGGAACGTGCCGCAAACAAGCCCCCGACCCTCCTTCCAACCGATGTCTTCACCAGTGCCCCCCTATCTCCAACCTTTTACACCAGGTGCTCCTATGTCCCGCACCCCAAGCACCAACATGGAGATGCATTCCGCGAGGCCTAACTCAAGCCTCGGACAACCGCCTACGCCTTCACATACACCTCAGCCCATCAATATGCAACCACCTACTCCTCAGCACCCGTCGAATACTTACGCATATCCTCAAAAAAAGAGAACCCACAAAGTTGAGATCAAGAACCCAGTTACCGGGTCTGTTGTTCATTACGACGAAGTTAAGCCCCCATCCACTACTCCACCGGTTGTAACCACCGCTCCATTGATTGTTTCTTCCCCCAGCCCGGCGCCTGGCCGGACTCTGTCTCGTGATTCTCCTCACACTAGACCGGCAAGTAAAGTCAAGAGCGAGCAAGAGAAGAGAGAAGAGATGAAAGTTTCAGTCCAGAAGAGGATGGAGGAGCAAAGGAAGCAAGAGGAACAGATGCTCGAAAAACAACGTCTAGAGGCTGAGAAGGTTGCCAAGGAGGAGCAGGAGCGCCTTACCAAAGAGGCAGAAGAGAAGAAAAGGCGTGAGGAAGAGGAGCGCCTCAGGAAAGAGGAAGAAGAGAGACTCCGTAAAGAGGCGGAGGAAAGAGCCTTGAAAGAGGAGGAGGAACGCAGGAGGGAGGCCGAGAAAGCCGAAGCCGCGCGTATCGCCAGAGAGAAGGAAGAAGAGGCGGCCAGGGAAGCGGCAAGAGTTGCAAAGGAGAAGGAAGAGGAAGAGGCTCGGATCAAAGCCGAGGCCGAGAAGAAGGCAAAGGAGGAGGAGGAAGCCGCAAGGGTCAAGGCAGAGGCGGAAGCAAAAGCCGCGGAAGCCTTGAAAGCATCCTCGGCCCCGACCATCTCGAAGACTTTCACCCCGGACAACGAAACAATGCCTCCTCCTGCTAGCAGAGTCGTTGGGGGGAGCAAGCCGAAGCCTAGTCCTTTGAATTTGCAAATCAAGACAAACGAACCCGGTCCACCCTCCGCTGCCCTCACTTCTTTGAGATCTGCAAGATTCATCGAGGATATTAACAGCGTAAATTATCCTGCCAACATTCTCTCACCCAACCCCGCTCTCAACCCCGCCGCCAGTGGCAAGTTCAAATATCCTAAGGACTTCTTGATGCAATTCAAGGATGTATTTACCGAGAAACCTTCTGTCGATTGGGATCAAAAGATGCGCGAGACCGTCGGCGAACCTGACTCCGCACGCCCCCAGACAGCTCGTAACTCGGGCGGCAGCATGGCTCCCCGTGGCTCTACTCCGAGAACAGCGGCTTCCAGCGCTCAGCCGCCCATGGGTGCTATGGGCACGTTCGGATCTTTCAAGACTGCGGCGGCTTCTATGATCACATCGAACCGGGGATTCGAGCGCTCTTCCACAACTGGGTCTCTACCTCCAGGAGGTTTGATTTTCAATCCCCGGTCTGGCGGTGGCGGCGGTGGCGGCGGAAGTGGTCTCAGGCGCACTGGATCCAGTACCTCATTGTCTGGGGGAAACACGCCTGCTAGCCCTCGAACTGGGAACAGATCTTCGCGTGGCAGCAGCAGGAAAGGTGGTGGTGCTCCGATGGAGAAAACTGAATCCAAGCAAGGATCCGGGAGTCAGCCGACTATTCCTCTTGCTGAAGTTAAGCCACTGCCAATCTCTGAGAATAGATGGAAGCCACCGAGTGCAACAAAGGCTGCAGAATCTGCTGCTGCGTCGACGCCATCTGAGGATAACAGGCTGTCTCCCGAATTGGTCCAACGTAAGGTCAAGGCGGCGCTGAACAAGATGACTCCCGAGAAGTTTGATAAAATCTCAGATCAAATTCTTGAAATCACTAGCCAATCTAAATATGAGACTGATGGACGAACGCTCAGGCAGGTTATTCAGCTTACTTTTGAGAAGGCTACCGACGAGGCGGCTTGGTCTTCTATGTACGCGAAATTTTGCAAGCGAATGCTTGAGGCCATGGATCCTAGCATCAAGGATGAGAACATCAAGGACAGGAACGACAATCTGGTTACCGGTGGAAGTTTGTTCCGCAAGTACCTATTGAACAGATGCCAGGAGGAGTTTGAACGAGGTTGGAAAGTAAACTTACCTCCCAAACCCGAGGGTGTCAGTGACGAAGCTGCCATGCTTTCTGATGAGTATTATATCGCAGCAGCTGCCAAGCGTCGTGGTCTTGGGCTGGTTCAGTTCATTGGAGAGCTTTTCAAGCTGGGTATGCTTACAGAGCGTATTATGAACGAGTGTGTGCGGAAGCTGCTTGATTTTGAAGGCGTACCCGAAGATGAAACCGTTGAGAGCCTTGTTAAGCTTCTCAGAACCATTGGTAGGGCTCTGGATGCTTCTGAGAAGAGCAAGAATATGATGGACATGTATTTCTCACGGATCAAGCTTCTGATTGGCGACAAGGACCTCAACAGTCGGATGCGCTTTATGTTGATGGCAAGTGGTTTTGAAACTCCCCGAAACGGAAGAAGTCATAACTAATGGCGCGCAGGATGTTATTGATTTACGCAGCAAAGAATGGGAGACTAAGGAGACCGACAAAGGCCCTAAGACTATTCAGGAGGTCCGCGAGGATGCACTCAAGGCACAGCAAGAGAAGGAGGCTGCGACTCGTGCCAACCAGCGATCGCGCCCCGGTGGTGGGCGTGGCGGAGACACCAGATCCTTCTCTGGCGGTGGATATGGCAATATACATCATCAGGGAGGGTGGCAGGACAACAGCAAGGTTAATACTTCGGATCTCGAGAAACTTAGCTCGAGGGCAAGACCGAGCAACCGCGGGCCCTCCACCTTTGGGCCTCCTAGTATGTTTTCACGCAGTACCAGCGGTAGCGGCAGCAGAAGAGGGCTTGGGCCCTCGATTTCTCGAGGTCCTGAAGATTCACATTCCTCATCCCGCACTGCTACTCCGGCACCACCCACCTCCTCAAAAAACCCCTTCAGGTATGCGAACTGTTCCCTCGCTCTATCATTACGCTCGCAATACTAATAACCTAACAGCCCGCTCGGGGAATCGCACCATGACTCTGGCGAGATCAATGAAGCCACTTCACCACCTTCAACTACCTCATCCCCGCCCACTGCCAACTCACGAATCCGTTCACCTCCTTTGATGAAGGAGGAGGCCAAGTAAATCGATTCGGAGAATTCCTATTCAAAAAAAAAAAAAAAGTTAGGGTTTGTGTAGGCGTGGGCAAATAGAGAGTTTAGAACGGCGTGTATTCTCGGGGTCTTTTTTTTGCTTTTTAAAAATAATGTTGCCTTGTAAATGCTTATTGGCGATTAGTTTGTGCCTGCTTTTCATTAATTTTCTCTCCTTTTCTCTTTTTCTCTCTATTTTTTCCTTTTTCATCTTGGTGGGAAAGAGAAACTGGCCGGCCCTTCACAGCTATTCATTTTTCAGAACTTTTTTTTCCTCTTTTCTTTCCTCTCTTTAACCGGAAAGGTGCGAATAGGCGGTGTCACAATTACGAAACGGGTTAAAAGGCGAAAGATGAAAGGAGAAACAGTAGAAGAAAAAGGTACTCTAATGATAGATAGTCTAACTAGCTACAGTACACAATAATGTATCTACTGCGGAAAGGACGAACCGAGGCATGTTGAATGAGGGGAGGCTACCGAAACGATTTGAGCAATTGGGTGGCAGGGTTTTTTTATGGCACAAAAGTTATAGTTTTGTGGTGTCGTATATTGATGTTAGGGTTGGCACTTTTGTTCTTAAATTATCTTTTGGATTGGTTGGTGGTGGTGTGATGATGGGCTTGTTAGGTTGGGGAAGGACTTTTTTTTCTTTTTTCTTTTTTCTTTTTTCTTTCTTTTTTTTTCTTCTATCTGCTAAGTCACTCTGTCACATTAACTTCGCTTCTTTTCTTCGCTCGACTGCTACGCTTGCCGTGGCTCAGGCATGTGGGGTCCAATGGATCGGATGGAATTGGATGGGGTGGGGAAACGTTTCGAGGAGTTTTCCTTTGTGCGAAGTTTGAGCATGTTGTGGCTTAGCTGTTTTAATAATACATATTTTTTTCGTTCTGTAAAACTAGTTGTATGATAAGATGGGAAGAGGAAGAGTATGAAGTGGGTGAATTTTGCCTTCTCTTTTTTTTTTTACGGTAGGAGATGGGTCATAGAATAGCACTCGTCGAGGTTGTAGTTGGTAATCCAAGTGGTGAAAAAGAGGAGTTATAGACTGGGTAACTGTTATACATCGAGGCGCGTTACCGTGGTCACGGATGCGTAGTGTATAGGTGAGATGCGGAATAACCTACCCGTACTGTACAGTATTTGACAAGTAATCACCTGTGACGGCGTACAGTGCATACAATCCCAAGGGAGGGCAAGGAGCGTGGGCAGAACACAATCAAACAAGCGAGAAAGGAATACCCCGCCACACAGCTCTCTCCACAGGATAGAATACCAACATTTACAGCGCAGGAAGGGGGTAGGGGGGATTGCGGGTTTGTCCGATATCGTCTCATGCCATCGTATAGGAAGAGAAAAGAGAGTGCTATATGATGGGGTTTATCTGATGAGCGCACTTGTCTCCGTCGCACCGCTTTCCTTGGCTCGGGGAGCGGTTTGGAGAAGCAGTGCCCGCCGACAAGACCGGTGGATATGTGTTGGACGGGCGCCTTGGAAGGGTGGGGGGCGTAGGTGATTGTGCGGTACTCGTACTTACCGGTTAGTTGGGAGGGTGCTGTGGGTGAGGTTGATGTGATTTTTCGGGTTGGAATTGCTGGTGCTGTACGTAGGACGTCGCCCTAGTGATTGGAGGGGGTTCGATGCCTCGCCTTGCCCGGTTTGGGTGCTTTACGTGGCATTTGTTGACACGGTGGTTCACGATCGTAGGGCTCTGCTGTAGGATTTGTGGTGCTGGAGTTTGCGGGAGGGTGGGAGAGTGTGATAATTAACGCGGTATGATATAGTACTGTTGATTCTGCCCCCCCCCCCCCCCACGACCCGCCGATCCTTGGGATAGATAGATCTGGGATTGCATGTTGGTTATTGGATACTGGAAAGAAGGTGTGGATGATCCATATGTGAACCGGATGTATTGCTGCTAGTGTAGCGTGCGTTAGGCTTCTGTGTAATCTGTGTATAAGTTAGCACAGCCTTCCGGTCCGGAGTAGATTCTCCACCAGCACCTATTATCATGCTCCTGTGTATTGATTGCATGACCATGTCCTGCTTAAGGCACCATCGCGGGAGCTAAATTGTTTGACTGGTTCCCTGTGTGAAGTGCATGTATATTGTACCGTACAGTACGTAAGGTGTCACCACGACCGGGTTTTTAACGGCCATTACATGACATTGTATGATAATAATTATGATAATAATAATTATGATAATATTATTATTATTATTGCTTTATCCCCCCCCATGAAAATGCCCCCCACATTGTAAACCTGCCCCGCCCTTAGTCTACTGCTAACCCCTCTGAGAATCTAACGCTTTCCCGCATGCATCCAGGGTTTTGCTGGTTCGTATCCCCCATCTAGCAATCCACGGTTGAACGAGGCCAAGGGTTGGAGCCAGCAATCCTTTCCCAGTCACACTTTATCACTCGATAAAATCGGTCATGGCTATTTCCCAATTGAGGATAGAATAGAACCGCACGCAAAGCACACAAAAATCGGGGGCCACACAGACAACATTTCGCCTGTGAGAACGAGCAAGCACCTCCAATAGGGAGCGCCAGTTTACGGGTCCCATCCACAAAGCTTACGGGAGAGTAAATAGTGACCGCAAACTCTGGCAATAATTACGCACTGGCTACATCATCCAAAGGCTAACCAAGCAGAGCCTCAGGAGAGGGTCCGGAAGGGCAGACCAATGAAAGTGAGGAGTGGAGGATTTTCCTTTCCCCTTTCCCCCTCTCCTTTCCCCCTATGGCCCTGGTTATAGCGCAGCAAGGAATTTGATAGGATTCTTAGAATTTCTGTTTATGGTATGTACCTGATAAGGCGCCGGTTTAGTCAGATAATTTAAATCTCAATAGCCAAAATTGTACCAATGACAAAAAATGGATAACGTTATTTTTTTGGAACCAAGGGGGTGTTTGGCGTGCCGCGATTGCGATCTGAAATCATGATTTGGGGGTAAAATCACGTTGTAAAATCAGGTGGTGTTTGGTGTACCAAAAGGTGATTGTAATTTCAAAAAAATATATATATATTTATATGAGAATGGTCAAAAAGTAAGTATAACTTTAATTATAATTGAATCTACCTATGATGCTAGGTTTGTATCACGATACACCACTTAGTCTACGCGTTACTTGACGGGAGGGCAGGCCATTCTTGACCGGGCACCATACATAGGTAGGTGTCTAGAGTGATATGTTTAATGAATCACTACAAGTAAGTTGGTGTGAAGGGCAGTGGATTTGACAAATGAATAGCGATATGCATAATCGAACGTATTTTGTGGTTTTCCATAGGTTGTTCGTACGACAGTTGCTGTTCTATATTGCGCTATCTACATATATATATACTACCACCTGAGTGGCTTCAAATCATCAACCAAGTTATAGGGACTTATAAAGGCCCAGCATCCCACAATATCTGCCATGGAAAGGAAAGGAGATCTAATGCCGAGTGAGAGGTTGTGATTATGGATCGAGCATACCACCTTCCCATCCTATGATATATTCGCAGCTGACAGTGGTAGCAACCTAACCAAACCACCCATCAAGGGGAATGGAGCTAAGGATGAAGGAGGGAGGGGGAAAAGATACTACTCAAGCCAAGTATTTTCCACTGCTGCTAAAAATTACAAACTCCAATACGCCAGAGCAAGAAGACAAAACTCCCCCCGGCCGACGCAGGTAGAGCAAAAGAGAGAAAGAGACAAAAAAGGGTCATCAAGCCGTTACCCCGTCATTTCTACATCATGATCATCATTGCGCTCCCCTAGCGCGTCCTGTTCCTCCTCTTGGCTGTCCTCTTCGATAGGTGTGTCCCTTGCGCCCCTCATGACTGGCCTCGTGGACGTTGGGTGTGGAACACTGTTAACTCTCGAACGCGGAGTTGTGCCAACGTTTGACTGCCTATTCCCTCTGGGTCTTCTCTGGCCCCTATCTGCCTCTTCGCCAACAGGCAACCCGCCACTCCACTCCTTCTTGCAACGCGGGCATTCGTGCGTGCGGTTGGGACGGAAGATACCTTCAGCGCAGGGAGTATGGAGTCGAAGTTTGCAGTGTTTATCTATGCAGCGAAGGCCCTGGTGTGCATGTTAGGTTGGGGTGAAGGGGTGGGGAAGGGGGCAGACATACTATGGTTACAATCTCTCGGCATGCATGACATGTTTTGATCCTTTCAATAATACCATTGGTGGAAGACCCGTCGTCTTCTTGCTCGTCATCTTCGTCCGCAGGTGTATTGTACGTTTGGAATAGATAAGGGCCGAGTTCCAGAACTGCTCGGGTCGTGAGAGAATAGAAGCCTGCCCTGAAAACACAATGCCCATGAGCACGTTCATCTGACTAACCGAAGATATAACCGAGGGGTCATACTTAGAACACTCCAGCCACCCCTCATCAACGAAACTTCTCAACGCCGCCTCTGCCCCAACCATAGTCAACCCGCTAACACTCTGACTAGCAGGGCCTTGTGTGGCCTGAGAAGTTCCCCCCTGCTGCGGATTCTTGTGTAATCTTACAGCAGCAAAGTCGTGGACTGCCAAAACCTCTGCATCACGAGTGTTATTAGTCTCAAAGATTGCGTCGAGGACCCTCTTGAAGAAAGCGATTTCATCTGCGTTGTGGGTTGTAGCCAGCTGGACGAGTTCGTCAGATGTCGTGTTGATCTGTCTCGTCGTGAGCGAACAGAAAAGAAAGGGCATGGCCGGGGAGGGGCAAACCAAAGCAAATGTCTTTGAGCGATCCCTCTGGTCCAACATAATCTTGATTTCGAGGTCAAAGTCGTGAATCATGTCATTGGCCTTAGAAATGTATGATGAAACTATGCGATCGTTTATGTCTTCAGTGCCTATTTCGTGCTCCGCATCTTTAGGCCAACAGATAAGTCAGCATGGTGAGAGTGGAATAGAAAGATGAGAAGTTCTTACCATCCGCGGACAATATCTCGGCCAGAAGAATCTTGATATCATCAACCTTCATAACTCTACGAGACATGACGCCCTGAAGAAATGCTCTATTAACATCGCCATAACCTTCCCGCAGAAGACTCATGATTTCAAAAGGTCGACCTTGAAATTCCGCAAATCTAGTGGTAGAATTGACAGAGAGGAGTGAAGGAAAAAAAATCTCTCTCAAGACACGGTTGATGTGAATTAGGAAGCGGGAGAACGCAGTTGGGGGAGAAATTAGGATGAGCTCGTCGCCCTCCTAACCTAGTGCTAGCAAACTTGCCCAAACTCTAGGGGAAACACCGGTTCAGTTTTCCTGTTTACTTATTGTGCGGGAAGCTCCGCAGAGCCCCCACTCCCCCCCAAACTTGTCTGTTCCTTGTTCAACGCGCCAGCGGGTAAACTCTATCACCCACCACTCATCCTTCCATCCAGCTGAATCGATGCTAGATTTCGAACTCGTCGGGAAACAGAAGGTTATTAATTTTTCTTACGATCCCCCTGTAACTTCTTTGAAGGCTCCTTCTTCTATTGACTGCCCCCCTTCCCTCTCTCAAATAATCTGTCCACCAACCCTAGCAGCGAATAGCTCTTCATCAATACTCCCTACACTACGCACTGCACACTCTCTCTTAGTACCCATTATGTGGTTGTCGGATGTGCAAAGTATTGTTCTTTTGGCCCTGAGCACCTGCGAGTGTTTGCTAACGGACCCGCAGAGTTTGGAGTTGGGTTTTGCGCTGGAGGTATGGTCTATAGACGCTCGAATACCCATTCAGAAATTGTAACTAACTAGTTTATTCACAGGAATTTTTTTCTTTCTCTTCGGCATCATGATGTTCTTTGACCGAGCGATGTTAGTATCTCCTTGCTGTGATCCTCCCTATCCAATACTGACTTTTTTTTAAACAGGTTGGCAATGGGTAACGTCAGTCCCTCTCACTTTCCCAGCCAATCTGGTTCCGAACCGCTCTGCTTATGATACCTTTTCCTATTTCCTGTAGATCCTCTTCGTTGTCGGCATATCCTTATTCATGGGCCCAAAAAAGACATTTTCTTTCTTCGCGCGTAAGGAAAAGTTCCGTGGGACAGCATGTTTCTTGCTGGGTGTTGGATTGATATTGGCAAAGTACCCACTCATCGGGTTTTGCATTGAACTTTACGGCATCTTGAACTTGTTTGGCGATTTCTTTGGGGTTATAATTGGGTTTTTAGGGTCCGTGCCTGTGGTAAGCATGCGATTCGGGGGGTTTGGGAGTTGCCAGGAAGGCGAGGTATTGACTAGGTGTGCTTTCAGATTGGGCCCTATTTGGAGGGACCATTACGAAGGGTTACTGGTAGGTCTATCGCTGACTGGATACGGAAAACTGGGATTAATTATTTTTAGGCGCTACACAACAGCTACCCGTCTAAGAAACCGGCGTTACTAGCTTCTCTTTCCTCTTATGGCGTTTATGGAAGGGGTGGTCTTCGTTCGGGTAATCAGAGCTGTGTATCTTTGACGGTATATATATCATGTTGGCGAGCGCGTGGCTTAGAGGTTCGGGTTTATGCATGCAGGCAGAATTTAATGTTTAATAGAGCCCCGAGGGCCAGTCGACCGGAAGTAGTGACACAGTTTTCGTGTGGGCCTCCGGGCAATGAAGAGCAGCACAGGGACGGGTAGGACAGGCAGAAAGAAACACAAAAGCCATGAATACAAAATGAGCGAAGCAAGAAGCTAAGAAATAGTTTTCAGATAATTTGGAAGCAGAGCTCCACTATCCTCGATTTAGTTGCAAGAGAGCAACCCCTTCTTCCCCTCCACACCCCGCCGACTTTCCATGATCCACGTAAACAAAACCCGGTATGATATTCAGTACCCCACCCCGCGTAGGTATTCGGCGAGGGCTTCAACTGTGCTCGCTGCCTGTCCGGGTTGGATATCCTCGCCGTAGTAAGCAACGAGGATGGCTTGTGTTGTTCTAGCACAAACGATGCCAGTTTTTCCCTAGAGTGAAATCGCGATGGGTTGTCAACAAGGGTAACCTCAAGTGTTAAAGAATGCTTCATTGGTAGAAGCCCACCTGTTTTCCGTAGATTTTTTTTTCTTCACACTTGATGGTGATGTACTTTACCCCCCCAATGTGAAATCCTGGACTGGGGAGTTCAGGCACCTTGCTGCCATCCCCGAATGCTGTGGCGAGTAGTTTGATCTCTTCTGGCATGACCTAGTTGAAAGAAACAGAAGTGATCAGTTGGGTGAACCCTAGATAGACAACAGAAACTGAGTGCATCCGTGGCCTCCAATGAGGTATCCGGAATTGCTGGAGCCGGAAAATGCAAGACATATATCATCTAGTCAACAGCGGGGGAGATTACTAACCGCAAAACCGGCGGAAGTAGCCCACACACTGTCTCCTGCAGCGCTGAAGATAGCGGCTGCATTAACTTTCCCAGAACCCAAGAGGCTATAAGATAGTTAGCGGACAAAATAAGGTATCAAACCGAAAGCTTCCTCATGGCGTTGCTTACGTCGAGTCAACATATGCTATGGGGTCCCGGGACAAGAATTAGTAAAAGCATAACAACGATTAGTTCACCCCACTTTTGTCCCTCGTTGATAGATGGAAAGTCAGGACTCACCTTGCCAACTCATATTTGGTTTATCGGGAGTGTGAAAGAAATTTAGAATTAAACGGAAGAGCAATAGGGACGAACGGGTATTATAAAAGAAAACGATGAGAATACTGAGGTGGTAAGTTGTTGTTGCGGTGGTGGTGGTGATGGTCGCTTTGGTGTGTTGTTGTTGTTGTTGGGGGATGGGAAAAGAGAAAGCTGATGCGGAGGGGTCTTTGACAACAAGGCTACTCACCACGCCCACCACCCACCACTCATCCAACAGCGGGGTGAGGCTGAGGGGCTGGTAAGCCAAGTCAAGACCGATGGAGTTGGCGGGGTCGATTCATTGATGACTTTACCAGCGAATACATGTGAATGATACATACAATTCATGAGAAAATGTACAGTAAGAAGGCAGGCTAAAGGGCCCAAAAGATGTGCAATATCATAGGGGCTATGATATTAGGAATGTTTCTTGAATTCTTAGTAAAGATATTTCTACAATCGATTTAGGTGATGTAGCAACAAAGAATACGAGTGGGCTGGTGGTTTCATCCACTCATCGGAGCTTTGATACGAGTAGCAAGATATCAGGTGATTGAAATAGAGTCGAGCAGCGAGCTTAGACTACTTTACCCTATACTCGAGTACTAGTAGCTTCTGAGCATGACTTGATCAATGGGAGTGCTTTCGTTGTCGTTTACCTTTGTCGCGATATCAGAACCCCGAATCGAAGCGTCTTATCACCCGTATTATAAATAATATGTTTTTGGGTTAAAGTTGCTGCTGAATGTACTGGAGTAGCGGTAAGGTTCTGGCAGCTGGGACTGTCTGCACAGTGTGCTACTGGTGAGCGCAGGGGCATGAGACACACAGAACAGGCACAGTACTTGAATAGACCGTGTGGAGTAACTTTGCTCCCCTTCCTTGAACGGAGGGCACCTGGCAATTTGGGTGGAGATGCGATACCGGTATTACATACTTGCTCGCCTGTTGTATGTAGAGTATCCGCCATGGTAGTGTGTGGACAATTAATTCTGTGCTGAGGAATGACCGAGGACTAAGGGAAAGGTTATGTGCGCAGCGCACAAGAGGGAGAGATTACCGGTACTGTACACAGTCATACTCCTTCGTTCTTATGAAGGGGCAAGTAGCGTAGAAGAGGTCCATCGTATTCAATCTATTATTCTGTAGGGATGTTAGAGGTCTGCAACAAGGCCTGCTTGTACTTTTTGTGGAGATCACTAGACAAAAATATTACAATATACTGGCTGTACGATACAGCAGTGTGACAGTACTACTCGTGGTGTACTGTACCGTGCGAGTAGTACGGTCGTGTCCGGAAAGTCTTCCCACCCTCAACCAATCCAACCAAGTGAACATTAATGAACCTAATATCCACAAATAATCAAATAAATTGATTCAATTAAAAGGGATGGTAATATGTAAGCTGTAGGGACTATTTTTATAAGTTGTTGTAAAATTTTATAATTAGATCCAATTGATAGGCTATTATGTTTAGTAATTTACCATATTGTAATTAGTGAAAGTAAACTTCATATAATATTTCTTATCTTTATAACCTATGGCAACAATGATTTAGCATTAAATGTATAAGATATCTGAATATCTGAAAATTCAAATATAATATATTTGTAGTGGCCTCATTGGGAATTAGTTGGTAAGTTGAGATTTCTTAATAGAACTATTTGGATCAAAAAAAATACCATAATATTATATAAATAACTTCTTAATTTTTGAGTATGAATATTCATTAATCAAGAATTAAAAATAAGTATAATAACTTTCAATAATATTATGTATAAGAGTATTTGACAAATGCTATGTGAAAATTGAAAGTGTTTTTTATTGCTTGCAGGCAAAAGTAGTCAAAATTTTGCCAATATAAACATACTTCTTTTAGAGCATTGTAGAATATAACTTTATAAAGTTTTTTTTAAAAATATTTTATATAATACCATCAAAATAACTACCCAATAGTATGATAAATATAAAAAAGCAACTTTAACAAAGTTTTTTATCTAAAGATATTAATAAAAAATATTATCTTATTTTTGGAATAAAAGTTTACAATAAAAATGCTCTAGAGAAAATTCTAAGTATATTTAATAGTGATATGATACATCTTATTACAATACCTATATAGAAAATCTTTACAAAAAAAATTAAATGTGGAAAGTAAACTATTTATATTAAACTGTATTACAAATAAATTACTATATGTATACTTTCTGAGATTCGATGTGATATAGTTATTTTACTTCATTTTTATAAATTTCACTTTTAAAGTTGAAATAAAGAAAGCCCTTATGAGATTAAGTTTAAATTCTGATAGGAAATATAAATATTATAATATCAGATTCATTTAATGAAATAACATATTTTGACTAATTCTAAAATATAAAATTTACTCTTATTATAATAATAATTATTAAAAAATAAAAAATAAATCAAGTTATATGCAAAACTTATATAATCCCTTATTAAATCATATTATGAACTCAATTCAAGTAAATCTTCTAAGGCTTACTTCTTCTTCCTATCTAAGTTTCTTTACAGAGTAACTTTTTCTAAGTAATTATAATGAGGATTCTGTTATATTATATTATATTTTAATTAATATTGACAAACTTGACTTTTAATAACAACTTGGAGATTTATCCTGTACCTAATATAATTTAAAAAATCTCTTATGTATTGAGTATTAACACATCTACTGGTATGTCTTAGTTCTTTCATGCATATTTTTAAGTATTATACAAATTATATCATAATTAGTTTTGGTTAATATTTTATACTAAAATTGACAGTTTTTAGTTTCAATATAGAGTGGTATAAACCTAACATATTTTAACTTTGTTGGTAAATATAATTCTACTTAAGCCAGTGAATATTTAAAGATTATTAAAACTTTTAATATTTTATTTACATGTTTTTTAATTTATTGGAAAAATTTCAATGATGGGATATTATCCACTATACTTTGCCATGTAGGGTATGAGGACTTTCCTGATACTGGTATGATTGTACCAAAACTATCAGTGTTATAATATTGTTGCAAACATATTGGAACTCCTTTATCATCACAGCTCTAATTTTGATAACCTCAATTTTTAGCACCCAAATGTGAGAGATCATCATACTTGTCCCAGGCAAGAAGTACCTGAAAATTTAGACGGAAAACAGGGATAATTCAGGGATATTTCAGAGATACTTTAGGGAGTTAAGACATGGTTAAGAGGTCCATGTATATAGCTGAGAGGCCCATATACATAGTGATAAAAGCCTTGCTGAGGCAGAATGCTTACCATTCCAACTTCTAAACACTTTCTTATTCATTTGAAAAGCTAATTTTAATGTGAAAACAATATATATATTATTAAAACAAGTAAGTATCACAGAAGTATGAAGATAGTTATACTTATCTATATCTAAATACTGGCTAATACCTCATAGAAGAAGTGCTACTATGTGAATGCTTTGTAATTTTAGGTTGAGTGGACTTACTAGCAGATTGCTGAGAACCAAAACATTGGCCTCAGTACCGTGCATGATATATATAAAGCCCCAGCAACGTCAAAAAAGAGAAAGGGTTAACCTTTTCGATCGATAGTCTCACATGCCGTGGCCTTGTCACTACAGTGACAATATCCTCAGCCCATCACCAGATACCCCTTATGGAAATTGCAGAACTCTAAAGAGTCTAAGTGAGTGAGAAGACTACCCAAAAGGCCTTCTTACTTGAAGGATATTCTTGTTGAGTTGCGAGAAGAAAACCCTTTCTTGAAGAGCAGCACAAGACCAAGCACTTGGCCTTTGTTCTCCGGTGCTAGTATTGGACAAGAGAGAACTGGTGCCGAGTGATTTGGACAGATGAGTTTTACCTCTGGCTGACCGAATCCCATGGCAGAACCTAGGTGTAACGATCCCTCCTTGGATAGTTAGTTCTTGGCGACGGGGAATGATACTTCTCCTCTTCTGTTTCTTTCCTTAGTCTTACAATAGCACTAGGCTGCTACCTACGTTACCGATAATACAAGACCTCTGTCTTCTATCGGGAATGCCTAGCGTAAGCTTTCTCTAACTCTTCTTCGTGAAGAGTTCTTCCTTGGTATAACAATAACATTATGACAAAGTTAAAGATTGTAAAGGTGTTTTGTATTCGTTAAAGTAATAAGTAGGAAAAGTACTTAGAATTCAATTTAATTTTATTTATACTAGTACCGCCGACACCGGCATACGACCAGTCTCCCCCATATCCCGTAAAAACAAACTATCTAAAATACACTACCACCGACCATTCCGCCTCGCAACCACTCCCCCCAAACATAAATCCAAAAATTACTACCTACGTGGGCTCATGGGCGCTCATGACGGCTAGCGTCACCCCGGATTTACATGTCTTCCCACTCCGCTATCCAACTACCGTCTCATACCCTCACCCCTATCTGCCTCCAACACAATTTGTCCCACGTACTCAACAAAGGAAACATACAGTCTATCCCAACATCCCTCCATCCTCTTATAATGTAGTCCCAAGTCCAAGTACCCCTCGGCCAGAACCATCCCACAAAATGAACAATACTCTTCTTTCAACAACCCATTTGGCTTAGCCTACCGCAAAACTACCGACATCTGAGTCGCAAGGTCTAGCTTGTCCCATTGTTGGTACCGAGAATATCAAAACTGATCGTGACATGTCCGTAAACAGCGGGGCTTTTTCTCAAAGTGTTCAGCGAAGGTGACTCGCTTCTGAGTGGCCGACGCAGAAATTGCAGTCCCACAACAGGGACAGTCGCATCATTGCTGGTCAGGCAAAAAGAACCACTTCTTCGGTATGGTTACCAATCCCAGCAGAATGCATCCACTGCCATCGTGTTTCTTCTCGCACCGGGCACAGGTCGTGGAATCTCCTACCAATGCCAACCGGCCACCTCTTTCCACCATCAGTGTGCTGTCAAAGGGGTTACCTGCCACCACCAACTCCCCTTCCACCGTTTTAACATACTGGAGAATCCCTAGGCCTAACCACCTGTGACTCACCTACCAGGACTTCCACTGCAATATCGCCGAATCCTTGTATAAGTCCTCGTCAGCAGGGCGTCCTATAGCATAGTGGGGGCACTCAATCCAGTGGTATCTGTTATCCTTCCCCTCACAGCCGTTATG